GGGGAACACAATACAAAACTTAATACTCCTGCAGTAAACTAATGTATGGCACTATAGGTCAAAGCTGTGCACCTGCCTGTCACTTCACAATGGAGGATGCATTTGTAGGCAGTTGGCATCTGATGTGACTGTGCCAGTGCAGATGAGGCGGCTTCTCTGTTCATCATGCGAGAGGATGTGGGGGCCCATCTCTGCTGCCTTGCCATGGGCCCCCAATTTACTTTTATCCATCTCCGCTGCTTAGACACCCAGCACTGCCGCATTGGCGGTGTCTAAGCCCTGTGTCCTTGGAAAGCTTCTTCTGGTCACTTTAATGGGTGACCAGAGCACCGGGAGAGCGACGGAAGGCAAGTACAAGCAGCTGCTGGGGCCAGCACTAAAGAGAACCTGTTACTTTACTAGAAGCATTGATCAACATTTTACATTTGAATCACTTCGTCATTTACAATGTATTAAAGCAAATTCTTTGCCTGGGGGTTGAGGGATTTGGCCGTACCAAGGTTATTATTTTGTAGAGATACAACGGTTTTTCCTGTGACAAGAAGCCAAACTTGCTCTCTTACCACAAGTGTAAAAGGTCAACATGTAAAAGGATCAATATAGGTTACCGAACACATTGTACAAACATCTTCATGTCACAGTCGCCTTACTCATTAACTAGATGTACTTACAGGAATATACCCAGCAGCAGGACTCTGATAAAGAACTCGGCCGCAAAGCCTTCCAGGATCCTCTTCTCCATCCCGGGGACAAAGTCTCGTCCTACAAAATGGCGAACAAAAGATAACCTAAGTGGAGCGTCACATCGGAACATCCCCTCCCCCTCCCAGTGTCATTTCCACTGTTCTGGCAGCCTGGCCAAACAGCAGTCCACAATGAAGCATTTTCCAAATTGTATACATTGGACTCCATGCAACGTGTCTTACTGGTATATTGGAGGTGCCCCCCCCGTACCCCCTTATATTAGCCTTTGGTGCCATCATACAATTTGTAACCAAATAAAACCATGCAGAGATAGATAAACATAATAAATTGCAAGTTCCTGCCGCAGGAATCCCTAAACTATAGGTGTGAATGGAGCCTAAGTCCCGGAGACTGTGGAGATCCCTCCGCACTCCCTACTAGTACGGCCCTTGAAGTGGCTGCGGATGGCGCCGCTGTATCCGAGTGAAAATAGTATGTCACCAGCACACCAAGATCCAACGCACAAATGCGTCTTTATTGACCCGTGTACATCTCGCCACATACTGGCAACGCTTCGCAGCCACTTGGGGTCCCTTCATCGGGCATAGTATGATAAATGATTGCAGTGCAGTCCGTTTTAAATACCAACACCCAGTGCAGAATCAGTCCCAAAAAAGTCTGAGCAAGGCGACCGCTGAACAGCCACATAGTGAGCTCTGGATGGAGACGCCCCACTGAGGAAGGTAACGGCCCTCCATCACTATCAACAAACTGAAGAACGCGTTTCCCACATTTTTCTATGAGGATTAAATCACTTTACCTGATCCTTCAAATCAGTGACCAGCTCTCAGCTTGTCCCGGACATACCCCGGGGATCAGATTTTATTTTTAAATATTTATTTGAGGTGACCTTTACATGAGCATGAAATCGGTACCTTGTGTCCGATGCAGAAAGCAGATAAACCGGTTTATGGTGACATCCTACAAAACCTGCTTTACCCAAAACACATCAAGAGCAAGTAGTAGTCACTACGTCAATAAAAACTCCAAACAAATCACGAAAAACGCACAGCGCAACCGGACAATTCCTATGCCTAAATCTGAAGCAATCTGGAGCCCCTAGAGAGGCAATTATTTAACCTCCCGAGACCCAACGCAGGCTGCTTACCATTTGAAATAATACTCACCTTCTGCAAATTGATCAAATCTTCCCACCCCTGCACACAGTCCGACTTCTCCCTCCCTCTGACCCCTCCCCCCATGGCCCTCCCCCT